CAGTAGAACAGTCCTGTTACAATAGGAGCTATAGTCCCAGTGCAGTAGAACTGTCCTGTTACAATAGGGGCTGTAGTAAAAGAGATTAGTCATTTCACAATAGAGGGAAACTATAATTCTTCAGCCCCTGTTTTTTCTTACCGCAGTTCTGCTTTCTGTTCCCAGCCTCTCACAGACTCCGGGCAAGCTTCTGGCAGTCACAGAATGGACTCGGGGGAGGGGGGTTGGGGGCTTGAGAGGGGATGACCTCTGTGACGCCTCATCCATTGTTCCCTTAAACACAACCAAGAGGGAACCGACGGCTTCACAGGTGCTGGGGAGAATGATGGTTTCATCCCACTGTCAGATCTGCCTGTTACTTTCTCGACAGATAAAGGCTGCATAGCAAATTTATTAAAAGGCACACCAAAAGCTTCATTTCTGAGAGATGTGCGAGGAAGAGATGTAATTGCAGGAGAGAGGATAGCTATTGTAAGAAACAGGTAGACATTGAAGTCCTAGTATTTGTGACTGCAGTGGTAGCATTATGGGAGTATAGAAGAGTGAACATGGGTAGTATTTCTGTTTTTCTCTGGCTTAACCCTGTTAATTCAATGCCACCTGTAGTTCCACCAGAAATATCATGATCCACCACTTGATTATAGAAGAAGCAGAATCCCAGGATCTGTCATCTGTTTCATGCTAACTTTGCCCCTCTGATATTATGTGGAAAGACTATGTAAATGTGTCAGTGAGCACAGCAGCTGCTGTTTCAATGAATTTCATCAGTATTATTGATGGTTTTTACCATCTTCCTATGTGTAGTCTTTTTGTTTTAAATAAGTTAAAAATGATTATATAACATATTTGTAATTTTTGCTTTTAATTGTTATATGAGTCTAGCACAGAAAACCAAGTTAAAGAAATATACCCTTGCTCCACTTGATGAGGACTGATGAACAGGATTTAACCTACAGTATACAGGATAGGTCTACAGCAGAAGGTTCTTATCTGAGCTATTTCTGTAACTTTTTTCTTTGGAAGATGAGTAGATATCGGTTTGTGTAGTGATAATGCTGGAGCTTTTGTCATTTTGTTTGTCAAATCTCGATTCACTTTTACTTTCATTTTTGTAAACAACAAAACTTAATGTCTCCAGAATCATCCTGAAAGGTTGAATGGGATTACTGTTGTGAATCTAGAAAAGAAACTTCGGGGAGTAGTCAAAGCCAAGAAGAAAATGTTAGAACTGATAATGTTACAGTATATAGTTAAAATTGAAGAACTGAAATCCATGGATGTTTTTTGAAAATTGTATAATGTGTTTTACAAAAATATATTGCTCTGGAATCTAGAATCAGTCCAGAAAAGACCAGACAAATACATTCCAGGGCTTAAAGGAACATTATACTGTTCATAGCCTACACTGACAGGGTAAAGGAGCTGAACCTTTTCAGCAAACAAGGTTTCCAACAAACAAGACTGATACAAGTATTCAGAATCCTCACTGCCCTTGACAAAGTCAACCCTGTGGACTTCTTCAGAATCAACAGTGAAACACGAATCAGAGGACACAGTACAAGTGGAAACTACAGGGATGTGCATTTAAAACTGAGAGCAAGAGATGCAGTACTTAGTCATATCAAATACTGTGGAAGTCAAGGTCCCACCAAATGAGCTTAATGACATGAATGGTGTCCGCAAACTTTCTTAAGTTCTTAAAGCATTTTTACACTTTTTTAAATCATGTGTTGTGCAATTCTATTACACAACAAAATATCAATAATTATGCTTCATTCTAAATGAAGACCAAAGACCTTACTAGAACCCCGAGGCACTTAACTAATAAATTGCAAAGTATTTTATTCTCTTTCTGTATTCCCCAGAAGAAATTTGTGAAGTTTTTACCTGTCTTTGGTCACCACGTAGCCGGAAAGTACAGTGGAGACAGCCTCACCACTCTCTTTGGAGCATATCCAGTGATAAATAATCAAGTAGTTTGCTTTTCTTTCCTTTTCCTCTGCTGTGTCATTTACTTCTCTCACTCCCTCATGTGCTTGGAGAGAATGCTACAGAACCTGTCTAACCACCTGGATGCCGGAGTTGCAAACAGAGTATGTGAATTTGTCTTTAGGTGGAAAAAAAGACTGCCAAGCTCAGACACAAGCTACAAACAAACAGCCTTAACAGGTCAGGTGCCTACTGTATGTAAATGAACATTCCCAGGACAGCCCTCTTTACCTGCCCTAAATAAGGAATGGAGGACAACATTAACATAAAAACGTGACTTTTCATATTGGCTTGTATGTACCAGAAGAACTACTGAACAGAAGGAACATTAAAAATGGGAGGCAGACATTCAGCCCATCTTTGGTTATTATTGGTTATTGGCTATTACTTGGTATCAGAAGCGAACTGATCCTTGAATAATCCAGACATTTCTTGAAAGGAGTCTTGGTCCAAACACCATAGCTTGGGTAGTTTGTTCCATGCTGGCAGTTATACAAGGACTTGTTAGGTATCTCATAGTAAACAATACTAACTACTGTATATACTGTAGTTTATAATTGAGATAAAACACTTGGTATAATAAGGCCCCTTAGTAATTATCAAAAGTAAGAAGAGACAATAATAAAAAGCAGTGTACTGTACAATGCCTTTGACTTGAGAAAAGAAGGAGCTGGCAGAGGAGTGTTAAGGGGGGTGTGCAGGATCCATAACCATGACAGAGTCACAGCCTGAAGAAACAGTGCTGTGGTGTTGTCCATATTGTCCAGCTACTCTGGACAGAAGATACAGGAGCAAAGAGTAACATAATCGGCGAATAGTAGCTCAGGACATGCTGCATTCACCAGCATAAAAAATACAAGACTCAGATAAAGAGTGACACAAGAACTAAACCGTTCCATGTGTTTGAGAAGACAAGGGTAGCTGGGCTGAATGACCTGCTTTTGTGTTTGACATTTTATTATGAATGAAGTGTCTGTATGTGATGAAACAAAGGAAGAAATCAATATTGAGTCCAGTGTTTCCATCTGACCCCATAATTCCATACAAAACAAGTTTTTAAGTTTTTGCCCCTAAATTCAAAGTGATGATTGTGTACATGGAAAGCTTCTTGACTGTTTGACCAGGATGCTCCATGAGAAGGCAATGGGCTTTTATGAAATTGAAAACATTGCATTTTGTTTTTCATTTGGCTACTTTTTGAACTACGTCTCTTAACTATGCAAAGACACCAGCATTTGCTGAAAGTCTTGTAAATATGAGGAACACTGGTAGTGGAGCTACAGTATGGGCTCTTGACTCTCCCACACCCCAAAAAAGAGAGTCCACTTTTCTGTCTTCATTGTATTATATTTTTCATTTGTCTTTTGCTTAAATTCACACATTTCTTTCTTTCCTTTTTGTAGAAAGACTGTTTATCGTTGTCCAAAAATACTTGTGAAGGCAAAATAAATCAGGAATCCCAGAAAATATCTCAGAAACAGAGCTCCTGGACATTTATTTCCAGTGTCTTGTTAAGGAGAAGGTACTTGGACAAAAAAATAATTGACAGAGAGCAGCAGAAAAAAATCCACAGACTTACAGAACCTGAATCAGACTTACAGAACCAGTAGATCTGCCAGATTTCCTGGGTTATTGCAAGAATCCAAAGAATGAAAACTGACTGCATTTTCTAAAATACCTGGGTAGACATCCATGCTGGTTGTGAAAGTAAACAAAAATTCAAGTTCAAATTTAATCATTTATGTTTTGGCGTTAAGCTTTATATCATCTGATGCAGGCTTCGGAAGATATATCAAATGTATCAGATTATTTTGTTACACTAGATTAACAATATGAGTTATACCATGCGATTACTATTATCTAAGTACCATAAAGACATGTATAGTTAGACTATAATTACAAGTTGAGCTCCAACTACAAGCTCTATATGGTTTGCTCTGACAATCTACAGGGATAAATAATAATTTAATAAAATGAATGGGTTAGGGTTAGGGTTGGGGTTAGTAATTATTAAAAATAAATTAAGAAAGCAAAGCACAGACTCAACACATCACTATCTTGTAGTGAAAATAAGATCCTGATAAATTCTAATTTAAATGTTGTAAAAATATATCCCTGACCTTTTTACATACTACCTCAAGTGCATTGTGACATAATTAATGACATATTGGATATCTGAACCTCACAGGTCATTGGATTTTGACATGTTCCCCAAACCTAAAAGTATGAGCTTGAAACAATGAAATCCATTGATAAAAGCCCTTGTATATATATTAGATTCAATAATGCTAGGTTACAGACCGACTAAGTTTTGGGATACAATTACCAAGTGGTGCACCAAGCACCGGAAAGACTCCGGAAAAAAAAATTCAGATAGGCTCAAAAAATTACTTGTCCTAAAGCTGACTCTGGCCCCAAAATCCAGCGATGTGCTTAACAATTGTCTAAGTGAAAATAAGTCTATGTTGTCTAACAATTGTGAAATTGTCTAGTACATGAATGGTAAACCTAACCCTAGCTGGGGTGTCAACTGAGCAGTAGCTCAGTCTACAGTATATCTGAACCTCACCAGGCATTGGATTTTGACATGTTCCCCAAACCTAAAACCTATGAGCGTGAAACAATCAAAACCATTGACAAAAGCTATTGCAAATATGTTAGATTGAACAATGCTTGGTTACAACTTTTGATCACCTACTCAGTTTTGAGATACAATTACCGAGTAGTGTACCACGCCTTCCAGGTACCAAAAAGTCGCAGAAAATCACTCGTCCTAAAGCTGACTTGGGCCCCAAAATGCAGCGCTGTGCTTATGAATTGTAAGTGAATGGTAACCCTAACCCTAGCTGGGGTGTCAACTGAGCAGTTCCGCAGTCTACAGTAATATTATTATGACATAATATCATTATTTACACCATCGACAAAGAACCTGCAGTGCTGTGGGACAGTATCACTGAGCACATCGGATGATGAATTAGAAGAGGTTTGTCGATATTACAATTCAGAATATTTTCCTCAGCATTTGTGTTATTATCCTTATTTTTTAAAAAGCAGAGCTAAGACTATAGCCTGCTCAGCCCTCTCAGTGATTATTGTCCAGCATCAAGCTTTCCCTTTGTGACAGAGGCTCAAGAAAATGGTCATTCTGTAGATCATCTAGCTGTAAATAAAGATAAAAAACTTGTTAGGATCACAGATGATCTGCTGATGACTGCTTACCCAGTGTTTTTCTATCCATACTTGTGCTGCTGGCCCCTAGTGCTCCATTTAATAAAGATGATCATACATTAGAAACTTGCTGAATACATTAGAACCAGTTGTTGGTTTTACTGGAATTGTTTAGGCATGGTTTACAACTGACAGAATTTGTCCAGGTTTGGTACTCTTCCTGCTTTATAAAGGTAGTTCCATCTGGCACCCTGCAAGACCCTGTTCTTAGTAGATGTACAGTATCATCTTTTAGAAGGCTAGAACAGGGAAGGGCAATCCTTCTGTTCCGGGAGGAATGGTTGGACTGCAATTTTCATTCCAACTCGGCTCTTACCCTAAATGAGTTCAGTAATGACTTAATGGGACCGATAGACACGCTGGGCCCTAAGGATCAGTATCAGGATTGCACATCTCTGTTCTAGCCTGATCCTGTCAGATCTATAAACGTGATGCTGGATCTGTTCAGCAAGGGGATGGGACACCTCTAAGGAAAAAGTAAGTTGAAGCAGTAGGTAGTGATCATGACAGAATCAAAGATACTGTAAGTCCATACAAGAGCAACAGCTGCTGATTAGGCCAGAGCTTGTCCTGGTTCCTGTTGCATTAACTGGACTAGTGAGCAATCTAATCCATCTGATCCATCCCAGGGCCCAGCAAGGCTGGTCCCCAATTATACAGCTGGGTGAACTAGAGCAAGTGGGGTAAAGTTCTTTGTTCAGGAATATAACAGCAGTGTCTGCAGTGGGGACTTGAATCCACACCCAGTCAGGCATAGGTCCAAAGACCTACCCACAACAACTAATAACATTTAACAGCCTCCAGAGGAGTAGAAGGGCCTTCTTAGGAAGTGTGGCAATGTACCTCAATCAAGTCAAGTACAATTGGTTTTAACTTTGGTGCAATACTTTGTATAAACTGATTGATAAGAACTGCAGCATGCAGATTATCCTGCAGAGGGCAGAAAACACAAAATAAAAATGCATTAGGAAAGAACAGAGACCATTTATTCTAAAAACAAAGAGGTTACAGAGTAAATGCTGACAGTTTTGTTTCTTAAGATACAATATATGGAGAGGTCATCATTAATAATAAATTGCTGAATAGAACAGTATTAACCAGTTATGATTTTGTCCAGTTTATCCATCTCTTAATTTTTAGTTGCTAGTTGCTATCATTACAATACAACAATTTACATTCATAATTAAGTTTAAACTTTGTAATTATTTTTATAATATAATAAACACCTGCACATTGTTGTGCTAATTTCAGGATGAACACCATTTTGAAAGTCAATAATGAAAAAGGCGTTTTGTGTCAGATGCTCCCAGCTGGCGCATTACTGGAATACTATCCGGTAGTCTGGGTAAGCCTGGTCATCATGGAAGATAACAAACATAGTGGGATTGTAGAGGTTATCCACCAGGCTGTCATAGGAGTCATGGAGCGAACGAAGAGGAGGAACTTTCATGTGTAATCTTCCAGAGGTATAAAACCCTGTCAGCACACGAGCCAATAACATGCATTTACTGCCATCTCGTTCTGGCCTGGAAAATGCATGATTAGTCGAGTACTGTGCTTCTACAGCGAAGTAGACACCACTGCCACAAGCCGTTCCTGTGGGAAACAAGGAAATTTCAACATACTATTTAGTAAAAGAGGCAATTAAATCCTCTGAACTCTGAGTGAAAGGCTTCTGTGAAACCCCTGAGGAAGTTACAAGTTTTATTCTGTTCATTGGTGTCAATATTTACCAAAGCACTACAGAATAAGAAACACAAGATAATCTGCTGTGAGCTCATCACTCTAATCTGCCCAGCTGCTGAAGTGATAAACAAGACAAATCTCAGTTCTGGAATCTGGAGCCCTGACTGAAAATTACAGCCCATTCTTTAATCTGTGAGACCAAACCTTGAAATTGAGAGAAACATGTTTGAAACCTGAGAAAAACATATAATTTGGTCTATAAATTGAGATTTGGTTGTGCATTTATGTATATGGCAATGCTGAACTGGCAAATAGTTATCAAATTCATGTTATGTGTGTGTTTACAATATTCCTCCTGCCAGCTAAGACCTTCCTTGCAAAACCAACTTTTACCAATTGATTGTCTAGTTGGAACAATAACACTACCTTGTCAGAAAATTAGTGTTTTTATATTTTTTACTTAATTTCTGCTTAAAATTCTCCATTTGGAATATCAACTTTCTTCAGACATGTTGGGGGCATTGCTGTCTTACAGATGTAAATGTAGCAGGTAAATACTGTACATCAAAGAATGTATTTTTGAGAAAAATAATTCTTCACAAAGATGTCTTCAAGAGTCTATTGCTGGTGTATTTTTTTTTCAGTTTATGTTCATATTGAAACACCACTGATTTTTGGGTCAGATAATATAAGTCAGAATGGTGCACTTTATTTAGTTCCAAAAACCAGCCACAGAAACCAAAATTTAACATAAACCTGACAAAATATCTACAGACCTTACTTAAGACTATAAAAAACTCATTAAGTACACTCTATAATGTACAATATGTACAATGTATAATGTATAATGATGCAGATAAAATAGAAAAGGTCGGTGTCTGAGTCCCCACCGTTTTGCCCAGAATGGCTCCTGTTGAATCCGCTCTTCTCAATGGAGGAACAGGCTGCTTTCTGTGTTCCATGGAAGAGAAACTTCTCTCTGACATGGTCCTGCCCATTCTTCTGCTTCATGTGCTGCCATTTCAGCTCATAGGCCCGGCGCAAGAACAGGTTCTGTATTCTCTCAATCTGTTGGAAACAACAGCAGGTGGTTTGACTGCTAACCAGTAGAACACATACAGACAACAGAAGGCAATTCAGTCCGCCTTGCTCATGTGGTTGTCAGTAGCTTATTGGTCACGGATTCACCTGTTCTTTTAAAGATCTTAAGTCATCAGCTTCAGCAACATGGCCAGTTTAGCACTGCTCATGAGTCAATGTTTTCTTAAAATCTGAGAAAAGTATATACTAAAAGTATTAGGTAAAATAATATTGAGAAAAAAAAGACCTGTAAGGAATGATGTGGAAATACTTGCTATGTAAATGACTGATACTGATCGGCAAGAAAGTTTTTAGAAAGGACATTAGATCAAAAATACTTTCCTGCTGGAACAAAAGGTAAATTCAAAACTGGACAATATGATTCATATAGTGTAGATATTTTCATTTCACTGGGGGGTGGGGCTGCTGAATTGCTGTTCTTGAGTAAAATTATTTTTTTTCTTTATTCATTCACTTACCTTTGTTACAGTATATGCGTTGGCAGTCTCATTAAAGAGCTCCCTGACAACCTGGTACTCCTTGGAGTCAGGCCGCAGTGCCACCTTGAGGAATGTGCTCCCATTCATACTGTCCCAATACGGAGGGAGGCTGTAGGCTGCATGGGAAGTAATTTCACTAGAGACATTAGCACATGCCAACACCAGGCTCAACACAGAAAAGATGCCCTCAAAACTAATTGCTGAAGTGGACACCCCTTAACTTTGGACCAAAAGTTAAATTCAGCACGACTGTCAGTATGGATTTCTGAATCAAGGTTTATGATGAGAGGGCAGGTAAAGGCTGCAGTGTGATCCTTCCTTCCATTTATTTTTTTTCTCACCTTGTTTCTTGTGACTAAATGAAGAACCCCTCGTACTCTTGAAAATGTATCCATGTTTTATAATTGGTTCACATAAGATGAAACCCACCTACCTTCCACTTCGGAATGACCCTTTTCTAACAAGTTCAGGGAGTTCCTGTAAATGGACTGCCGGACTTCCTGTTGTGCACATAGACAAAACTTATCACTTAATAAAACGTTATTTCATTTTAGGAAAAAAAGAATTCTAGACAATCAGGTAAAAAAAAGGGTGGCTTACAGACAAACGGATCTCCTCCAACAACTCTTCAAGATGTATGCGGGCTTGTGCAACGCTATTAGGAAGACCTTTGATAGAAATAGAGTCTGTGTACTGACGAAGGGTCACGCTGTTCTGTCTCTTGACTGTACCGAGTTGCTCTGGGCTCAGCTTGCCGGCATGTAGGTGAATGATGATGTCTCGTATATGAGCTGAGTGGAAATCTCTTGTAATAGCCTCTAAAGCACTCTCAGCATCAGCCAGCTTACCAGTCACTTGAATATCAACACCTTCTACACTTCCTTAGAAAATAAGAAGAGAATAGAAAAAAAATCTTTAACATGTCAACGCTCTGATGTCATTGTGTCATGAGCTGTCTGTTTATTTTAGTTTTCATTCAACCTGCACACGTTCACATATCTTACTGTTCGTATTAGTGGCAGGGCACTGAAACTCCTGGCAGACGGAAACTGAAAGAATGCCTTGCTTACCATCATCTATCCCCTCTTGTTCTTCTCTTCCCTCCTGCAGAGAAACTTCCCCCTGCAGGTCCTTTAAGGAAACAGTTTATAGACAACAGGAAACATGAATATTTAGAGCATATTTTATATTAAAAACCAACACAGCCAAGGAAGAGCCTCTACTCGTGAATTCCCAAAGCTGGCAGTACCAGATACTGTTACCCAGGCTGCAGTTTCTGGTTTCCACAGGGGACAACATGGCATCTCTCACTGTCAGAGGCCTGGGTATCAACATCAGCTGATACAACTCACAGACTTGTTGTATCTTGGCAGGCGAGATTAGGCAATATCACGAAGGGCCAAAAGACGCTGCTCACAGTGTAATGCGTCTGCCTCCAGTCAATGGTCACAACTCTTCCTGACTGTTGTTCATGGTTATAATTATTATTCCCCATAATGAAGCATATACATGCTGGCAGAATATATTCAAGGAACAAAAACAAATAACTACATGCCACGGACTTGAAAAATTATTGAGGTGACATTAATACCTATTAAGATAGTTTTATTCTAGGCTTCTTATTTTGTTCCTTTTTTGGACACCTGTCCAAGGGCAAGAAAGGAAACTCACTTATAAATCTGAGTGCAATACATCATGTCACGAATAATGAAGATTGTGCCCCATCCTTTCCAAATAAAAAATAAATGTAATGTAGGAGTGAAAAGTGCATGGAAGGATGGAAAGGATGAAAGTTCCCTGTGTAAATCTACAATTTCAGTTCTTATAGTGAAGACCGTGATGCTGCCCTAGAAGGTCAAAGACGTGTTGGAGTTGATGTAGGGGTTGCCTACTGAAGAGCACTGCCATGTAGCCTTTAATCAGCACACAAGGCTATCGGATTGAAAGAGGCTGACAAACATTAGCCGACTCTGGTGGAGGGATGCAGATCCAGGTGGGTTTCCAACACGCAGCCCGGAAGAGCAGGGTACATCCACAGTGGTCCGCTAATCTTACCTGTCTGGTGGAGGCCCCGGATTCGGAATTCGGCACGTCTGCTGGTCTGCTGCAATCCTTGACCTGGATCAGGCAGTGCTGGTTCTGTCGAAGAGACTCCAGTACCTCAGCCCCCGTTAGCCTGCGGAAATACTCTGTAGCCCAGGGCCGGGTGATCCTCAGGACCCTCTGAACAACTGCCTCCAAGTCCTGGCTGATGAGCGGCAGCACTTCCAGGACATCCACCCTCCTTCCAGACACAATGACCTGCAGAAGGTGACCATCTTGCACCTGCACATCAACCTGCTGGAGAGTTTACCAGGGCAGGTGTAAGGGGAAGGTACCCAGAGTGTTGTGTTTCAGAAATGTTTATTTTGTGGAGACTTTATCCAGCTCAGATGCTATAGTGTTTCTGAGTCACTGTAGTTCTAGTCTAGCAAGTTTTTAAAGTAACCAGTATATGTAAGTCATGGAGCAATTCAGGCAGATAGACAGATTATTCAAGAGATCATTTAAAACAAAATCTGGATGTTCAAAAGGACCAAAGACCCCTGTTCTAATCTGACTGAGTGATTAAACTGGCAATCATCTCTGTAAGTGCTTTAATTTAAGGATTATACTGTGCACTGTATTATAGATGCTTATGATTGTCCTGTTTTAAGATACAAATATTCCTGCGTTACTAATGTATTATTCTGACAAATTGTATCAATTGTATCAAACTGGATTAGAGTGGAGTATATGATATCATATAAATACATTTCCTGAAGGCTTTTATAAAATATTCTTTAAATTGTAGGCATGTCTTTGGGTTTTGAACTGAATAATGGATAGGAAACAAGGAGTGCAAATATGTTGTGAATGCTCAGAAAATGAGGCAACGTAATCTCTGCTCTTCTTGTTTATGTCAATTATCTTGATTCTGAAATAGTTAGTAAAGTAGTAAAGTTCACTGATGATACAAACACTATAGTAAAAGCAAAGAAAATTAAAAAGCCATAGACAAAAAGACTTTCAGTAGTAAACAGTAAAAACATAAACTATAAATATAAAATGGAAACAGCTGAAATCTGCCTCCAAAAAGTAGGTGTGTCACAAGCTAGTACTCACCACAGCACCTAAACTCTGCCACTCCATAATGCTGGGCAGCTGACTTCCAGCTTCCACTAGGTGGGGCTGTGTGAACTCCAGCATGTTTGTGATTTGAGCATTCAGATACAAATAGTCATTAATTGAACTCTTGGCAGCTAAAATCTCAGCCCTGAATCCCACCAACTTCACCTCAGTGGCAGGACACCCCTGTTTCTGAGCTATGTGGAAGACCACCTTCCTCCTGCTCGTGTTCAGCCTGCTGGAGAGCTCACGAAGGAAGTCTTTCCACTTGCTGTCCAGGGTAGCCTTTTGGTCTGAAGAGCTTATCCCTATGGCCACTTCTTGGAGAAGGACTTTCAGCACATTGAAACCCTGGGTACAATCCTCCTGGGACTTCCCATTCAAGAAAATCTCGTTTTTCTGGAAATCTAATTTGGCACAGATTTCTCTGGAGTGGAGAACCTCCTCGGAAAAAACTTCCAGATCCACCATCTTCAGAAATGAGCACTGGTAGGGAGACAGGTTTTCCTGGATAGGGATGGAGAGCAGGGCTTGACAAAACAAGTACAGGAAAACCTCTCGGACTGTGTTGACTGCTTCCAGGGGTCCTTGCAAAACAAAAAGAGGTTTTCCCTTCAGGTCCTTGGAGGCGGATATCGAAACCTCTGGGCAATTCAATTCAACTGTCTCTTTCTCTTTGAGGGTGCGGAAAGCCCTCATGGCCGCTTTTTGGGTGGCTGGACAGCACAGGTTAGTAAGGAATTCCTGCACCACAACTACCTTCAAAATCTTCTCAACTTCCTCCACTGGCCCCACCAAGACCTTGCCTTCCTCGTACACTCTGTTGGATCCTTTTACCTGCAGAGGTGGGGTGCTGCTTAATGGGTTCATCCAGCAAGAGAGGTCCTCCTTTCTCACAACATACCTCCTCCTCAACAGGCTGTAAGAGTCCATGACAGCCTTCCTCCATCGTGCCAAGGGGCCGAAGGTCAGCTCTGGCGATGAAGCAGGGGTGGCCAGGAAGCATGGTTGTTGCGATTGCTGGAATATCTCAAGCTTTATACCAGAAAGCAAGAGATAACTGAACATTTCTACAAAGACATCTCTGAAGTCTTGAAGATACTGAATGAACAGAGGGTCATCAAAAATAAAGGACCCAATAATTTCTGTAAAAAGAATAAAATGTGAAGTAATAAATTCCACAAATTAGAACAATATTAGATATTAAAAGAAAATGAAACCCATCTATGTGTAACATGGTAGAAGTTACATTTTTTCCATTAATCATGTTTTCAGATTTCTGCAAAATTCAGTATATTTCTTCCCATGGCAATAACAATAATTGCTTACACTTATATAGCGCTTTTCTGGACACTCCTCTCAAAGCGCTTTACAGGTAATGGGGATCCCCTCCACCACCACCAATGTGTAGCTCCACCTGGATGATGCGACGGCAGCCATAGTGCACCAGAACGCTCCCCACACACCAGCTCTCAGTGGGGAGGAGAGCAGAGTAATGAAGCCAATTCATAGAGGGGGATTATTAGGAGGCCATGATTGGTAAGGGCCAATGGGAAATTTGGCCAGGACACCGGGGTTACACCCCTACTATTTTAATGACCACAGAGGGTCAGGACCTCACTTTTAAGTCTCATTCAAAGGACGTTGCCTTTTAACAGTATAGTGTCCCCATCACTATACTGAGGCATGAGGACCCACATAGACTGCAGGGCGAGCAGCCCCTGCTGGCCCCACTAACACCTCTTCCAGCAGGTACTAACCAGGCTCACACCTGCTTAGATTCAGTGGGTTGCCAGGTGTGAGTTGCAGGATGATATGCCTGTTGTACATGCAAGCCGACACAAAAGACCCTGCTAGAGAGTATACGTGTTCAAAACTAGGTTTTGTGCTACTTACCTTCAGGACCTTCTGTAGCCTTCATTACCTGTAAAAGTAGACATCCGGGAGGCTGTTACAGAAATAGGTCATTCTTGCAGTCCTCTCTCTTTTATTGCTGACATGCAGCAAGGCAAATGCATTGGCCCATATGTGATGGTTAATGGCACAAACTGCATTCTGTGCCTGCCAGATGAGCACCTAGCTCTTTGTGAGAATTATATCTGAGTAGAATGCCAAAGAGAACTAAGACTATGAATTAGTGCAGGAATGAATTTTGAAATACTTCTGAAACCCTAAGTCATGATATTGGACTGCCAAACAACAACAGTTCTGGCTGATAACAACAGGGAGATCTAGATACAGTAACTCTGTTTCTGCTCTTGGGCATAGCAGTAGGATTCCTTTCTTGCCTTGAATCTTTCTTTAAACTGGAAAAAGTTACTCCTAGGTCCTAGGTTTCTGGACCAGTTATACTACATACTCCCAGTAGTTTTAAGTTTATTTCAAAGCTCAGTGTTTTTAATTGTGTTTTGACCAGCTGACTGTTACCTGTAAAGCTGGTCTTCGAGTAATTCCATGATTTTTTATTCCCCATTTGAATATTTCATTATTTTAATTATTTACTGAATGATGTGCCACCTGCCCCTGCTTTTCAGGCAGGTGTTACTTTAAAAGAAATGCAGACAGTGTGCAGCTCTGCGGAGCACAGCTTACCATGGTTTCCTCCCCACAGTCTGGACTAAGGACCAGCCTCAGGGAATGCAGCCAGGTGGCCTTGTTCACACGGTGAAACTGCTGCAGCCCCTCCAGCAGCCAGAGCAGTGACTGGGATATTGTCACACCTCTGTTCCGCAGGTCCAGCACCGGAAATGCCAGGGAGGTGAAGAAAGAATTTTGACACAGCTCAAGACACTCGTGCAGCAGGTTCCTTAGCCCCTGTGTAAAAAGAGTTCTGTTAGTTCTCAACCTGCTTAACAATCACAGTGACATCACAGTTACATAGAAGAAAAAAACAGCGCAGCACTCACTGAGAAGATGAAAACAATGCAACATTGCTTACATATAGTAGAAGACAATTCTGCAGACAGTAACCTCACCTGTAAACAAATACAAACACACAGGGACAAACCTCAGCTTGGCCACTTGGATCTTCCCAGTTGGCCACCAGGAAGAAGTACTTGCAGTCGAAACATGTTGTTTGGCATGACACTGGAACAATATTTCCTTTCTGTAACAAGGTGACCAGAGAACTGCTACTAGCCAGCAGTTTTTCCAGCATTCCCTTGATCTGGATGGGAGCTAGAGAGGACACCTTTATTGAGTTCGTTGCATCTGACAAGGATACAGGAAGTACAAGCACATCTGTCTGAAATGAAGGAAAGGGTGCAACAGGTGAAGGGATGATGATTTCAATTTCAGACCACTACAGCTGGCATCATGTTGTTTTAAGAACGTCTTCAATCAGTCTGAACAATTCTGAATCCTCCAGTTTATAGGGCAGTGGTTAAATCCACCTACCTACTACAAATTCCTCCATGCTTATGAGCTGTGGCATTTAGCACTACACTGCATGATTATAAAGAGACTTATAAACTGTAGGATTTCCCACTCTGGGAGCATATGTGATCATTACTATAAATAATTTGTTTTAATGAACCAGTTTAGGAATTCAAATTAGAACATAACATGGATGAATTGTGGACCTTGCAGTCTGGATTTTGCGCAGTCCTGAGCAGAGCAGTCACGCTGTTGAAAGGAGCTTTAAATAAGGCGAAAAACAGGAAAGCTGAAAGCGGACAGAGCTGTGAACCTGCAGAAATCCAGGAGCCAGGGGAAGAAAGAAAGGAAGGGCAGCTGTCCACAAAGGTCACATCCCGTCTCCAGCTGGAGAACAGGGAGCAGAGGAAAAGAAGCACTGAAAAGATAGAGACAAACAGACATGGGCAAGTGAAAAATAAATTCCCACATCTAAATAGTTTTAAAAAATCACTGATCTCTGTTTTTAAACTACACATATATGCATATTTTAAGTATCCAAATATATGCTTTAAATATTACCGTCTATAGTCTGGGTTCATGGTAAGATTAAAAATAATATTCAAAATAATGATTATGAGGGATGGGAAAAACTAAGTAGCAAGCAGGCATACAGAAGCAGAATCACTCAAAACAAATCAACAGTGAAACTGACAGTAAATAAAAAACATACCACAACTAAATACAGTACACAGAAATAAATAATAACATGTATTCCATTTAGCCATTATCAGAAAATTACTTACAGTTATTGCAGGCAGGTTGCATATGCCAGAAGCATGATTTTGCTTCTGGCAAAAACATATGCCAGAAGCACAGGGCGCAAGGTGAGACTACACTGGTGGGGGTCCTGTTCATGGTAAGGCAGGCACAAACACAAGTACTTGGGGGTGGTTTAGACCACCAGCATGTCTTTAGAAGTTGGTAGGAATCATGGGAGGATGTGCAATCTCAACACAGAAGGTGCCCCCTTGAGGACCCAAGAGATGTGAAGTACCACTGCAGGACAATTTCCCAAACTTCGTCCCATAATATGTCTTGCAAACATCAAAATTAAGATAATTTTCCAACCTCAGCACAATTCTTGCTGCTTATCCAACTTGCAAAGCCTAGAGATGCTATATGGTGATATTTACCAAAGAGCAGACATGCAAAGTATTTATGGACATGAACACAAACACAAACACAGCAAAAAGTCAGTATCATCCCAGAGATAGTTATGCACACAGAGATGCTTCCTCACCTTGGTTTCCTCCAAACTTTCACACACTATCTGTGAAGAGATACCATCCCAGCATTCATCTAAAAATTCATAATCCTTGTCTTTCCTTTCAGGCATGGGGCACCAGCAGCTCTCCAAGATTTTTTCCAGCTCTTTGGCCTCTTCCTTCTCATTTGACACCAGGAACACAGACAACCAAGAACTGGGGAATAAAAAGCACCTTCTGCTGAAATCCTCCAGTGCAGCCAATAAAATTTTGGCCTGCGCAGGTTCACCCTGTGGTCCAATGAGCGGACAGAGCATTGCCACTGATTCAATGTCTTGGTGCTGAAGGTACTCCAAAGCTAAAGTTATTGCACTCCCCAGCAGGACAGCACAACTGTTATTGCTACAACTACCGTTCAATCTCCAGTACAGTGTGATGATTCTCTGCAGCTTCCCATGATCTGTTACTCTTCTTCGGGAGGTCAGCATGACCCCTGCCGTTTTACTCACAACCTCCTCTGTGTCATACAACCCCGGAAGCATCGATTGGTCTCTCTCCTGGATAATGAGTGCTTCAGCACAAAGGAGGGACACTTGCTGACCAAAGCAAAAAAAGATGTGAAGACCCTGGGGAGTCAGAAAGATCTCATGTATCTTAATTCCAGCATTTTTCATAATCCTTGTTTGGACATCTGACTGCCTCTGTTCTCTCAACAGCATCCTGCTGATTACCTCTTTAGCTCTCTTCACACTCGTGGTGGTGCCCTTGATCTCAATTCCTGACTCCAAAACTTTGTATTCTACTCCTATTTCTAACATTGTTCTCATCTGTGCTTTCAGAGTGTTTGGTTTTCCGCTGAAATATCTCAGCAGGTGCTCTTTCACGTCTCCAAATGGCACCAGCTCTGTTGTGAGGTCCTGGAAGTCCAAATACTCTGAGATCATCTTCTTTGCTTTTTCAACAGCCTCTTTGAACCCCACAACCACCACCACATTCTTCTTTTCTGAGTCTTCCAGCTCATGCTTAAAAATCTGTACCTTTCTTCCATTGCACTGCTTCAAAACAAGCTGTTTGATGGCTATCCACTCGCGGAATGGGGGTATCCGAGGCAGGATCAAGAGCTCCTGCTCCAAGATTTGCTCCCTGAGGGACTCTTCCTCAGCACTGGTGTCCCCTCTGGAACTGCTGTCCTCCGCCTCTTTATCTGTCAGTAGCACAGCTTCTCCATTAAGATCCAAGGGACATTCCGGACCCAGGTTTTGCAGGAATAGTTTTTGGTAAAAAGATAATGTGCTCATTGTCTCAGTTTTAATGACCTGTGAAAGAAACTAAAATTACAATTTTTTTAACAAAGGAAATATAAGACCAGAACTTTCTAACACCTTCATTTCTTTGACTAGCAGACCTACTCAAAATGATTTTCAACTTTGTATTATTTCTTGCTTAAAACTCTATGTTTGTTCATGCCTATTGCTTGACAATCTGATGACAATCCACTTCTATGAAGACTCAATTAGTGTAACATACTGTCAACTGCTATCATTCATAAGGATCACAATGCTTGCAAAATGCAGCTGGAAAATGATTACTGCCTGGAAATAAAGAACCTCATCAAGTCTCTTCAGAATAACCACAACTTCAAGGCCACCAGCCAAATTTAGAAACAATATGAAAACAACAAATGGAGAATCATTTGTTGTTAGGATCAATGAGCAGGATGTGCTGAATGCTTTCCTCTTGTGCGTTATGAATGACAACCTCAACATTCTCATAAGAATCTGTGTGAGAATGTGATTGATTTGGCATTTGACATTGTGACTTTTCTCACTAGTGTACAGTCTTGAGAAAAAAGATTTTGAAACTCCTAGGTTGGGCCGTATTCTTGGATATTTTAGACCTAAAACATAATTAGATCTTCATGAGGTTGTCATTCATAATTTTGTGATTTGTATCCCCCCCCGGTGAGCTCATAGACAAGACACTTCATTGCCAGCAACTAATGCTGCATGCTGTATTGTTGTGCATTTGATAAATAAACTTTGACTGATTGATTGATTGCTTGATTGAAAGTCTTAATAAAAGGTTATACATTATACATATATATATATAACAAAAAGACCAGACATAATAATCCAAACATAAATTTACTTGTGAGAATACGTTTGTGAACCTATAGATTTAGTTATTTATGGCACCTCCTTCAGCATTAATGGCTTCAACTATAAATTTCCTATAACTGTTTATCAGTCTCACTCATCGGTGTCTAGCAATTGTGGCCCATTCTTCCTTACAGAACTGCTTCAGGTCTGTGACATTTACTGTAAGTCACTTCAGTTACTGCTACAACATTTAAATGGAGTTTAGGTTTGGACTATGACTTGGCAAATCCAAACTGCAATTTTTTAATTCTTCAGCCATTCTGTTGTGGATCTGCTTGCTTGCTTAGGTTCTTGCTACATGACCCACTTTTGGCTCAGCTTCAGATGACAAACGTATGGCCTGATATTCTCCTCCAGATTTTGCTGACACAATGCCAAATCCATGTTTACATCAATGAAGGGGAGCTGTCCAGGTCCTCAGGCAGCAAAGCAGTTCCAAACCACGATACTCCTACCATCAAGCATGATGGTCATGATAAGGCTCATCTGTTGGAAGGTAGGGCCGCTCTTGCTCTGGATGGGACACCAGTCCATCACAGGACAGACAGATTCAAATTTCAACAAATGGAAACCTTTAACAGCAGTCCTGAGCCTCCCTGCTATAACCTGCACTGGAAAGTTTGACTTGCTGTTGGAAATGAATGAGTGCTCAGCAGTTAACCAAATTAGACTTTAGACTGAAGATGAATTGCCTTTCTTCCTTGTCTGGGAAGTAACCATGCTGGGGAGCTCAGACCATGGCTGAGGAGATCATTGCAGAATTCAACAATTTGATCATAAAATCTGCTGCTGTTTACTGACTTCGGCAGCAGATACACTGTACTAAAGTAAATACTTGCTAAAACAGTTCGTACACACGGTGGGTACTGATAAGAACTTCCCAGATTAAAAAGCTCTCACGTGATCATATATTCAACAGAAAACAATAATTAGAACAGTAATGTTGATAACCGACATAAAAAATCATAATACTCCCTGTTCAGTCTGCAGACACCTAATTAGATTCACTGTTCTCCCTGATAGAATGTTTTTATGGCAGTCTCTCAACTGCATGAGCAAGGATTGAAGGGCCAGCTACACCACAAAAATCAGCATGTCAGATTTTAAAACTATTTTAATCTTGTGCAACATTCTGTATAGCGTAGTGTTATGCCTCAGTGTCAGTTAATTCCTACTTACAGTAATTTTACCTAGTAACATTTAAATGTCATCTTTAAAAAAGGTGAAAAAACAAACTAAATGTAGGTCAAAGTTTTCTTACCGTCTTTTGCTGGAGATACCTCTGCTCACTCATGCCTTGCCCTGTCACTGGCTCTTCCAAAACCTGCATTTCAGCCGCTGTGTAGGTGACAGGAGTCCATCTGCTTCCTCTCGACTGGCTGTGATCCGCCCAGCCTCTGTGTATGAACTGCACTCTCTTTTCAGTTTCGTTTCCCCAGCTGCTCAGGAGACTCAAACAGCTCAGCTGTGCCTCAGCCTCAGGCCCTCACGGCCTGTACTGAGGAGGAAGTGTGTGCTTGTTTGTTCTTCAGGGTGTGTGTGCTGGTGAGTTCGCCTGTGGGCAAGGGTGTTTGTGTGTAGGCGTGATGGCAAACTACACACGGATGAATAGCGATATTTTCCAATAGCACAACTGTCCTTCCTAATCATCCAGGCTGGATCTAGGGAATGCATTTGTATTCCCATATAAGCACAAAGCGGAGAATGACAGAAACACTAATCCAGATCTCACAGTAAAGACAGTATGTGTCCCTTCATCCCATGTCATGCAACCTATATGTAATGGAATGAAAATTGGAGACATTTCTATAGTAAAGTTTAGGTTATTTTTGTGAGGCCTCCACTCTGAAACACTCCCCCCCCAACTCTAACACAAAATAACAGAAAAGTGACATCAAAGAAAATGTCTGTATTATAACTGAATTGATTATCACTTAAACATGTAAAAACATTTAAAAAATCACAAAATATTGACTTTCTAAACCCAGAACAAATAATGACATCTTGTTTCACGTTTCACATGTATCATTGCAAGAACCTCTTGATCCTTTGTTATCCAGAACCTTTTGAAGAATGACGGAAAAAAGAAGGCAGCTAGTTAGGTCACTCAGGGGAAATGTACTGTACTTTAAAACAATACAGGATGGACAAAGTCTGGGATTTTCAGACGCTTTCCAGATCTGCAGTCCTTTCTCAGCTTGGAGCTTAACTCTCTTGTAAATACTCTTTAATAACTTTCCAGGAAAACCACACGATTTTCTGATGTGCAGGAGTAGTCATAGTACAGTACACTTGTGTTTCTTACGTGGCATACATAATGTACGCGCCAAACTGGTCACCGTCATCTTAACTTGTCTAGTCTCGATTTTTAACTCAAAATCAGGCGGTTTTCTTGACTTAATTTCCCCCTTCGGGTATTTTTTTCGGTTTACGAGCCGTATTGAGTGCGATGCGGCATGATGAAGAAAGCACTGGCGTGCTACAGGCTCTGTTACTAGTTCCCAAATCGTAGCTCGGGTGCTTGCAGTGCCTGATGTGACATTGTGAAATTGCCCGCAATATTTGATTTAATTTATCTTTCTTTGCCGACGGCGTACACACATTTCGTGTAAAACGCGAGTCTACTGTATTATCCTAGAATGAGCAATGCTATCGTTGTGGAGCAGTGGTTCTCAACCCATTCATCAACTGGGCCGCAACCGTGGCTAAAAGCAAGATTCGCGGGCCGCATATATTAATCACTACTAGGCCTACCTTATCTGCGCGCATAATAGCTGTTAACCATACGTATGTATATAGAGAGAGGTTGGAAAAGTTATGGTGTAGTACACAAGGTTTCTTGAAAAACAAAATGTTTTGGATGGAAGTCCTTCATCAGCTGTGCAACTTCAGAAGCACTTGGTATTGATTATATATATATATTCGTAACACTCTTAACTCTGACAGTATAGTACTCACATTAATGCGATACTTGATGCTGTCTGGAGGAGACCAAATCCACATAGACGGGCTCTAATTGTGTGACTGCACAAAGCTGAGATCCCAGGTGAAGGCAGGGAAGCGCGAATTGATGCGGTATATATCCGTAGATTCGCCTGCAGCTAAACTTTAGCCTTTAGCTGCGCTGTCAAGTGCTGACATTTCTGCAATTCGTCGCCTGTGTCATTACTTAGCTGTAAACGTTTTATTCTACGAATTATTTACTTTACTTAATTCTTCACTAGTTCACCATCACTGAATGGCTTGCCATGTTTAGCGAGTATCCATGACATTTTGAACGTGGCTACCGTCACCGCCTGGGACGCCTTTAAAGTACTGTAGTTCGCATGATTTTCTGCTCGGCTTCGTTTTTTCGAGATTACTTATCTTGAGAGACCTGTCAGTTGAATCAGGTGGGTATTGCTTGTCAAAATTCTTGGGAGTATTATCAAAAATGTATTTTTACACTGAACGTTTTGCAAGCGCTAAGAATTTTACTACAAAGCAAACAGAAAAAGGCTGCCCATCTCTATCAATCACAGCAAATTTACTTTACTTTACACTGTGGAAGCCCGTTTCCGCCAGGCAGCAAAAAAAAAAACTCGCTATGGTATCTCAGAATTGCGACTTTATATCGCAGAATTACGACCTATATGTCGGCCGTTCCGTTACACTATATTCATAAATCTTACAGGATCATAAGATCCATAGGTCTGAAGACTTGTCTTGTCAAGTGCCCTGATAAAAATCAAATTAATTACACTATTTTTTATGGAATCCCATCTCCGCCAGGAGGGCTTCCATAGTACCCGGATGGAATCGTGGACGGTGGCCTTTTAAAAAGTTTTTATTTAAACACCAAAAATCCAAAAAAAGGAGACAGAATATGTTCACATCCAGAGGAATTCAAAATAATTAATGCTGAAACTTGGACTTTTGAGATACTGTATTTCTATTGTATGTCTTGCCTTTTTGATTCTTTAAATTTCTAATAGGATTTAATTAAAAAAGGAATTGTACTTTAAAAGCATTAATAGAGGGAGCAGTATTAGACCATTTACTTTTGTGGGTGAAGTATTTTGCCAAAATAATTAACAGATTATTAATAAGAACATATCCATTATCCAAATCACATAAAAATATAAAATATCAATAACAATAACATAACTGAGTGTTGGCTCTGTGGCTAAGGATCTGTGCCTGTGACTGGAAGGTTGCCGGTTCAAATCCTGTGGCCGGCAGAGGAATCCTACTCCGTTGGGCCCCTGGGCAAGGCCCTTAACCCTAACTGCTCCAGGGACGCCCTACAATGGCAAACCCTGCGCTCTAACCCCAAGCTTCTCTCCCTGTCTGTGTCTCCATGGAGAAAAGCTGGGATATACGAAAAGGACGAATTCCTAATGCAAGAAATTGTATAGGGCTAATAAAGAACTATTATTATTATTATTATTATTATTATTATTATTATTATTATTATTATTATTATTATTATAATTTATGCAAAACAATTTTGGTACAATACCTTTTTTTACTTAAAAAAGGTCTTCTTTAGCTCAGCTGGCAATACCTGGGTTCGAGCCAATGCAGTGAGGCACGAACTAAGGTGGGAGAGGCGAGGGCACAAGCCCTAGAACCCGAGTCCGTTACAATAACAAAAGGAGACAATGGAATGTGGGCTATTTTGAAGTCGCAAATGTGAAATAAAAAGTAGCAAATGCAGGATTTTTAAGTCGCAATTGCGAGATTATAAATCACAATTCTGAGATTTTATGTCGCAATTGCGAGATATAAAGTCGGAATTCTGAGATACAAGGTCGCAATTGCGAGATACCATGGCGCGTTTTTTTTACTCCCTGGCGGAAACGGGCTTCCATACTGTACATTCCTACCCTCATCGCTGATGTTCCGGCTCTTCTGTTTGCACATGTTTCATTGGCATTTTCTTCCTCTGGCCCGTGTCGTTTTTAACCCCTTACAACAAACTTATTTTTTCTTTCTTTTTTATACGAACTAGCAGGCTATTAGGCTAGGCAACTCTGCTGTGAGCGGGCTGTTTTGCACTCAGACCTACGACGGGCGCGACGGTAAAGGCAATATTATTAATGTGTATTCTAGTGACGCGCGTTATAGCCTGCGTCCAGCACTTTATATTAAATTAAAGATTAATTAAAATGAATCTGGTCACCAGCGAATCTATTCAGAAACGATTTTACGCGACTAGAATACACTCCTAGTGGCGCTGCGAGTTATACCTTTTTTATCGAAGGAATCAACTACAATCAAATCTAATTTATTAAAAAAGATCGGACGTTGCGGGCTGCAGGTTGAGAACCACTGTGTAGAGAAAAAACAAATATATAAAAACACTATTTTCCATATTAAATTCATGGAACTACCCCTCACAACGAATATAAAACATATTTGGCCCAGTAGTTTTTCATTCAAACAATATTCACGTGCTACAGATCCTTGTCACCTAAGAGGAATGGATATTATTTGTGGATTCATGAGAAATCAGTCAGCACTTTGGCTGACTGTTAATAGCACAACAGTCAGACTTTTTCTGTGATCCAGATGGAAGATATTTTAGGAGATACTGCAGATCCCAGCAGGATCAACTCCTTGGGGTCCAGGTGACTTCCCAGCTCTTAATCAAGCCACTCCTCAAAGAAGATGGAAGCCCAGGAGAGAGAGAGAGGATCCCACCAATCCAGCCCTCCAGGATTTCTTTCAAGAACAGCCTGATTTTCCGGGCTCTCAGTCAGGACACCTTAATCCAGCAGCACAGATCCCAAACATGGCAACTGCTCTCCTGCCAGAACCAGGTTCCTGTGGGCTGCAGGGTGTCACTCTGCATTCACAGGCACAGAGCAGTGATTCCGCAGAGCTTCTTCCTTGTGCTTAAAGAGCTGCTGCATATAAAAATCATTCAACCACCTGCTTACGAACAGTAGACCTGAATTCTTCTGAGAAATGCCTTCTGACTAAAAATGTGACGGAATTACTTCCAAGATTTTTAATGAACATGTCTCAAAGAAGTTTAAGCTGTGTTTGGACAAATGTATTCACAAGAGAGGACAGCTCTTTGAGTCAGTTGTGTAAGAATTCAAGACGGATGCATTGTTTAATTACTCCACAGGGGTGGGAGAAGGCTGGAACTAACTCTTTCCTGTAACCTCTAGAATGTCTCGGAGCTCTGAAAAGTGCACAAGCTGAGGTCACAAAAAAGGGGGCCAGGCTCCAGACCAGAAGAGGACCTCAGTTAAGCCTCAGGGTATCATCAAGTACCCTGCTAATAAAATGACATCCCTGTCAGCAGAGAAACACAGGAAGCAAACACTTGTCTGTCTGTCCTTTTTTGTGGTGAACTCATTTTATAGAATTTTGTGTACACGTCTCCTTAAGTGACCCGATTATTATTTTACAGAGTTTGCATTGAATTTCACAAAATATTCTTAAAGGTTTTTGAGATGTGAACAAATGCCTTCAATCTGTACAATTACAGACTGCAATTGCAGTCCCAGTTTCCCGGACCAGTTATTAAATCTTGGTGACAAAATGAATCAATTGACTGTATCGTAAAAATGTACAAATTCTGAAATAAGCACAAAATTACGAACTTTGTGAAAAGCACTGTAAGGTCTTTTACTTTCATTGAGGTTTGGAATGCACTCATCAATTGTGATTCTTTCTATCCCCAAAATATAAAATAGCATTGCAGTTCCCCTTTAAGTACATGTTTCAAGTAAAAAAACAACTCCTGTTTAAAGATTTATGAAGATAACTTCATAACTATAACTAGGAGCTTGATACAATAGAAACAAATACAATAATACATTAAAACATTTCTAAGAAGTCCTCCATGCTCCTATAAGCCAGAGAGCGCTCATTATGACTGCTGGCAGTTTCTAAATGCCCTTTTGTTCAGCCTTTTTACAAGCCTGCAGGGAAATGTATTGTGCAATAAAATAAGTGGAGCCAGAAAGCACTAATGCTTGTAACGAAAAGGAAGTAGTCTGCTTACACATCGTTATCTGATATTCTGTTGCCTGTATATCTCTTATTTACTTCTAGCTACAACATACAGTAATAGCTGTGGGCTATTGATAGAGGGTTTCTCTAATTAATATGTACCTCTAATTTGGGAACGGTCCCCTACAGTGCAAGTGGGGGAGCTGGTATTGACTGCACTGCATATGATGACCTCATTGGAATTCATTTTTTTCTGTTGTTTGTCAAACTAGAACATTCCTGATGAAAAGCATCATCAGCAGGGATGAAGAAACAATTTTGCACTGTCTTTTCCAACTCGATATCCAACTAGGAGAAGCACATTTCAAATCACTGTTGTTACCAAAGACTGAAAAATAACCAAAAAAAGCACGGCTCAACAAAAGCCAGGCCAGTTGAAGTGTAGTGTTCAGTTTAAATAACACCAAAGACCAGGATGTATGCTGCTGAATTTGCAATGCAAATGTAGTCCAAATTGAGGAGAGCGTATACTCTGGGTACAGAAAGACAGAGAAGACAATCTGTCAGGGAGCCTATGTTTAGGATGTTTAGAATGTCTACATCATTATGAATATCCATCCAACATGTAGAGTTAAATGAATTCTGCCTCGACAATTATATATGTGGCAATGTACATATACTGTATTATTGAGAAAATTATTAAGGTCCAGTTAAATAAGAAATCTTGATCACTACAAATAGAATATAGCTCATCTGACAGCTGTATCCCGGCTGAGTTCTTGTTCGCATTTTATCCATTATTCAACTGGCAGCTCACTCAAGACATGAGATTAACTGACCACTGGACCTCAGTAATTAGGCTTTTATTGGCCTCCTTATAACCGAGTGGTGTGGACACCTGTGACTAAGAAAGGATGTTCTGCTATTGGTGCTGAGCAGCCCTTTCACTC